CTGTACCCTTACTGGAAAAGACACCTCCAAAACAAAAGCCATGTGACATGGACCCAGGGTCACTTTTCCTTATGTCTACTGAGTTATCCCCAACACTTTTATTATTGAGTTGCTTTCTTCATGGAGAGGAAATGCTATCCTTTTCACACATTAATTCCCAGATAAAATGGAGCACATCTGTAAATTACATGTCGTTTTCTAATATACCATCTGGGTATATTTTAATTACTGTAGGTTTATCATGTGTTTTAGTATCTAGTATGATTAGCCCTCCTTGATTTTGGTTCTTCTTCAGAATTTTCTTGGTTACTCTTTGTCATGTGTCTTATCTAATGTTGATGACTTATAACTCGAAATTTATATTAAATGACAATAAGAGTAGAAATCTTTGGTTGCTGAAAAAAAAACTACTGAAAATATTCCTTTCTTTAGTGAAAATATTATCTCATTTGTTGATTAAGATTCTAGCTAATGAAATAAGTAGATCTATTTTATCATGTTAAATAAATATTTATTCAGACCTATGTTATGAAGATTTTTTTTGATGAGAATAAACGTTGAATGTTTAACAAATGCCTTTTTAGTAGCTATGGAAATGCTCATGATTTTTCTCCCTAAATCTATTAATATAAAATATATGAATTAATAAAATACATTCATTGCTTTCCTACGACTGTTTCATTCTTACATTTCTGGTATAAACACCACCAATGTTTTCAATGTGCTACTGCAGTCTTTGGTTTTCTATGATTACATTTATTTATTTTCGTTTTGAGTTTCGTGTGGATATGTAAGAGCTTTGCTTTTTAAATAATGCTTGGAGTTTTATTATCAAGATTGTGCTTGTTTTTAAAAATACTTTATGGCATTCATTATTTTCTAACCCCCAAAGCAATTTAAATAACATTGGAAATGTTATTTAAAGAAGTGATAGTTCCTCCTGGAAAAGTGCCTGACCGCGTGATTTACTAAAGGTAGCTCTTCCACAGGTTTAATACATGGGATAATTAACAGCCTCTACAGCCATGCTGGAGTCATAATTTGAACATCTGCTGTGCTCTGATAGCTGACAACTTGTTTCCTCCTTGTTATATTCAGTTTAGATTTCTCTCTCTTTCCACCTAAATTTTCATTAATTAGATTTTTCTGTAAAATACTAATGTCATTTATTGCTTACAAATATTTGTATATAATTAACCAAAATACTAGTGGAAAAAACAAAATGCATAAGTAAGGGTTAGAGGCATCTCTGGAGTGAAAAGGCACTGTCAAAACACATGAGGGAGATAAAGACAGATACGAAAAAGCCAGCATAATGCTCTAAAAACGAAGAGCTGAAAAAGACTGAAAAGAGATCGAGACCATCCTGGTCAACACGGTGAAACCCCGTCTCTACTAAAAATACAAAAAATTAGCCGGGCATGGTGGTGCGTGCCTGTAATCCCAGCTACTCGGGAGGCTGAGGCAGGAGAATTGCCTGAACCCAGGAGGCGGAGGTTGCGATGAGCCGAGATCGCACCATTGCACTCCAGCCTGGGTAACAAGAGCAAAACTCCATCTCAAAAAAAAAAAAGAGAGACTGAAAAGAAAATGAGAGAGCTAGAAATTGAGCAAAGAAGATCAACAGATGAGTGGCACTCAATCATTTTGGCCTCAGGAACCCTTTACTTTTAAAAATTATTGACAAGCTCTAAGAGCTTTTATTATGTGGTTTATTTGTAGCTCTGCTTACTGAGAATTTAAAAATTTATGCGTTTATTTTCAAATTACAATTATAAACAGCATTTTTCAATAAATTTTTTATGAAAATTATATTTTTTACAAATAAAAGTAGTGAGTAGAGTAGCATTATTTTACGAGAAGTTTTTAGAAGAACTGCTTTCAAATTCAATCTCTTACAATTAGTTGTTTTGGTGGAAGTCTATGAATAAAACGTTACCTCACATAGACATGCTTTTCAAAGAACAGGAGGATTTGTAAGGATTTTTCAGGTAATTGTAAAAATTCTTCGATACTATACCGAAATTTGACAATTGGTAGCTTCTTTTGATAATTTCCTTTATCACACAAACTACTGAAAGGATATGTATACAAAGGTCAAGATATAATAAAAGTAGTATTTTCCCTTGTTATCAATAACAGCATCAAGTAAAATTACCTTTCTTTTTTACTTTCTGCCACAAGCAAAGGATATAATGATATACTCCTACCATCTGGCGCCCACTCTCTTGGTTCAGGCTGAGGCTTCAGCAGTTTTCCTCACCATGACTTTTCCACCATCAGTGCAAATGTCAACCCAGCAAAGAGGCAGATTACATCCTGATACTATCATGAGAACGTTTTAACCTAGGAAACTCTCTGCAAGGGTCCAGGGATCTCCCTCAACCAGCGATCTTCAGAACACACTTTGAGAAGTACTACAACATACACAAAATGTGGGGGTTCCACAAAAGGAAAGAAATAATGATATGCAAGGAATGTTAAAAGAATTAATTCAAGAGAACATTCCTTAAATAAAATAGTATTTGTATCTCCATAGGGGGAAGAAAAAAAAAAAAACACTGAACACCTGAAGAAAATTCAACACTATGACACCTTAGGCAGAATGAGACTGTCATAGCACATGACATTCATGAAGATGTGTGTAATATGCCCAAAATCTAGTCAAGGAAGCCAGTTCCTCGCTGCAAGGAGATGAAGTTTCTGCAGAGTATTACTGGGAGCATGTATTGGAGGGAAAACGCTGCTCGCAATCTCAGAGCTAAGATGTTTGACCTGCTCCACTTTTCCTTGGATTCATTCACTCTTCCATTCCCACCATTGTGATCCTCGTTTCTAGATCTCATAACGTATCACTTGGTTACAGTCGTAGCCCCAGTGGCTTCTTGCTTTTATTTTTTTCTCCATTCCAACCTATCCTATCCTCTTTAGGTTAACGAATATTCTTTATCATTATTATTATTTTTTTTTGAGAGAGAAAGAGAGAGTCTGGCTTTGTGGCCCAGGCTGGAGTGCGGTGGAATTATCTTGGCCTACTAAAATCTTAGCCTCCCTGGTTCAGATGATTCTCCTTCCTAAGCCTCCTGCCTCAGACTCCTGAGTAGCTGGGACTACAGGCACATACCATGACGCCTGGCTAATTTTTGTATTTTTAGTAGACACGGGGTTTTACTATGTTGGCCAGGCTGGTCTCAAACTGCTGACCTCAGGTGATCCACCTGACTCGGGCAGGTTAATGAATATTCCAAATAATCGATCTGATCAAAGCTTTCAATAGTTCTGGCGTCTGAAGCCTAGATCAGATGTGTTTCAACTCAACTAACCATCCCAACTAACTCCTCCCATATGGCCCTCACTTGCCACCATTCACAAAATCTGGTGCTACACTTAGGGCTCTTTGTTCTCTGAAAAACTTGTTTGCTTCCATATTCATGGCAATTGCTAATGGTGTTTTCTCAACTACAGATATTTGATAGATTTATCAAATTCTTCTACATATGCCAACTCCTAGATTAAATGATGTATTCCAGTACTAATTTCAACAGGGGCAACTTACGGTGGTCTTAGAGGGTCAGGGAAGCCTCCCTAGGGAAGCAAAGTGGCTTCCAGATGGAGATCTAAAGCCTCAGCAGGAGGACGTCAAGTGAAAGGACTTGGCAATGGGGAAAAGTCAAGACGAGGCTCTTTAGTGTCCTTTTGATTTTAATAGTATGTGTGGACTTACAATTGGTCCCATTTTAAAAGATAATGTAAATACCACCTAATTTTTGAATTTTAGTTGAACACTAATTTAAAAGTAGTTTGAAACATTCTGCAGACCAGCTTCTGGTATTTCAGAAAAGACGTTCGTCATGGCACCTTTCCACAACTGTATTTTCAAATCTCCCACCCGTCTGAGTTAACGATTTGCACGTCTTCGCTACAATCCTTTTTCCCCCACATAGAACCTCAACTTTCTTTGTTAAAAAAGTCAATTAATTGCCTAAACTATAAGGGGAAATTAATTGCTAACAGACCATATGTCGCAGCTCAGCGTAGGCTGTCATGTGGGGTCCAGGCGTCACAAGCGTGTCAGCATCTCCCATGTTTCTTCTCACACCTGCGCTGACACATGCAGCAGAGCTTCGCTTTCCTCCTCCTAAATTCTCATCACTATGCATCATCTCTGAATCGAGATCCACTAAATCAAAACAAACTGTAGCAAACCGTGGAGAGACTTCCGAAATCATATTGAAATGGAAAGCAGTCCCGACAACCCAGTTTAGGCGCCGCACATTTTGTAATTAAGTTCCATCATCTCAACATAAGCCAGAAAGCAAGAAAAAATCTCAATAGTCATTAATAACAACCATTTTCACTTTTACGTTGGAATTATTTTTAGAAATTCGAATCTTGAATTTTCTCCCTTTTTATATCTCAGTTGACAATAAATTATGGATGGATAATAGAATCTCATTCCACAGTGTATATAGGTAGGATAAATCAAAGCACAGTTGTCACAAAGAGTCTGAAGGGGGTGTCTTCACTGTGTTCCCAACATCCCTGAACATAAAACATATGTCAGTGTCAGAGTGACATTCAGCCAATCTGGCACGAGAGGCTGCATTCTTTTGTAAGATAGTCTAGGCAGGTATAGCTAACTAATCACAGCAATTGTAAAAAACTTTGTAAGAAAAAACGAACTATTTTTAAGAAAAACAATCATAATTAATATGATTAAAAATAAAATTCTAAAAAATGAAGTTCTATAAAAGACTGATTAGAAGAATATATCAAATCTGCAATTCTTAGGTCCTATAACATAATATACATATAAGATCCTGAGACCCTATATGTATGTTTATGTATGTATAATATATATGACATATATAGTGAATAGAATACATATGTTATATATGTCATACATAATACATATGTCGTAAGTTCCGTGTCAGGTGTGCCAAAGACGGAGGCAGAGGTGCACACCTCAGAATGTGAATATGAACCAGAGTATGTATTACCTTTGGGTTTTACCGTCAGCTGCACAGACACTTTTTTTACTCCCAACGAACTGACTGCTTGACATTCATATTGGCCTTGATCGTGCTGCGCTGCGTGGTCAATTCTCAAAGTGCCAGAGGAGAGAACCGTAGGCCGACCTTCCACAGGGAGCTGCCCTCCTGCAAAGAGGTGAAGGAAGTTGTCTGTTTGGCCCAGAGGGGTGAAGGCCGGAGCCGCGGGCTGTCGTAGGTAAAGAGAGATCTGTCTTTCAGGAAATCCTCGGTGCCAGGGTGTACCGCGTGGGTTCTGCGCTAGCGTTGCAGCCCCAGAAGCGCACCACACCCCCTGTTGCTTGTCCTCGAAGCTCTGCTACTGTATCACAAGGCATTCTCATCTGTCACCAAAAGAACAGCCAGCCTCCTAGTGAATTTTTAACCTTCATGTTTGCGCCCCTCAAAGGTACTATAATCAAAAAGCAAATTTCCAAACCAATTTGATTATTAAATTTGATTTTCAGATATCTTCATGACAATTGTTTATCATGTGTATGCAATATTTGGAATACAGTAACGTGACTGAAATACATTTAAAATGCAGAGGCAGTATATCAAAAATGGGAATTTTGCGACATCCATAGTATTAATCTACACAGCCAAGCAGAGGCCATCGTACTTTTCACTTCTGAGCTTATGTGAGCCTCTGAGTCCTTCTTAACACTTTATTCTTATGGCCATTAACAATGAAATGAGATGATCATTTTCAACTAGTTCAGTGAAAACTTGTGTCTTATTGAATGTCTTGTTATAGATGGAAAAAGGAATGGCTAACCCTACTGAGTGTACACACCCTGTGCCATCAACTGCTCTAAATGTTGAAGAGTATAAATTATTCAAATCAATCCCCACACCCACCCTACGATGTAGGAAACGTCGTCACTGCCAGCATAACAACAAGGACTCTGGCAAACAGCAGTAAATGCGTTTGCCCAAGGTCACATGACCAGCAAATGAAGGAATGGAGACGTGAACCAAGGCCTTGTGTTTCCAGTGCGTACCTCCTACAAACTAATCTCATGAACAATAGAGAACTTTCAGACAAGAAATCCATAAATGTAGACGTATTTTGAATTTTATCTAGTACCTGAACTAATATGGAAAGTAGGCTTTCCAATCCTGGAGGCATCTTAGACAAGGTCTCATCCAGCCAATTGTCAGTTCTGCTCTGTTACACGCCCAGGTTCCCTGGAAGCATTTGGCACCCTTGGTGGTGGATAGGGCGTGAAGATCCCGCCTGCCAGGCCCAGGCCCACCCACCCACACTTTAAGCACAGCAGCTCTTTGTTGGAGCTTCCCTTCCGATTTTTATTTCACTGATGATTTGATTTTGTACTAGAAGAAAATTTTCCACTTAAAAATAAATGTTTAAAACTGCTGCACTTTCCAATAATTTTATTTTAAAAATAAGGAAGCCATTTCCCAGAGGGAATAATCTCAGGAAGGCCACACACTCAAATGCCAAAACTCAAAACATCATGAAAATTATGACGATGTCATATTTAGATCAAAGATCACTTTCTGTGTAATTTTTTCATGTCCGTGATATACCTTCAATAATTAGTTGAAACTATGTTTTTTACTCTCCACAAAAGAAGGCGTTTAATTTCCCCACAATTACTTGTAGATGTGCTAATACCTATTTTTGTCCAGACAATTACAGGAGGTGGGCTGCCGTCAGCTTCACAGAGCCACTCCACAGCATGGTCTTCCAGAACCACTTGATCCTTGGGGGTTGCTGTAAATTGTGGAGGTGCTAAAGAGAATGAAGCATACATCAACATTGAAAATTGTTTTACAAATTTCAGTGCCACTAAAAAAGGAAAATGTGTTCAAATAAGTGCTGTGATCAGAATTTGCTTCCAACTATATATCACCGAGGTTATAAAGAGTGTGAAGGTGCCTCTGTATATTTGTGCCTGTTTGCAAGCAAGCCAGAAATACACGCATCTGGTCTGCAAAGCAAAACAGCAGTAGCCAATAGGAAGAAACCATTTCTAAACCGTATGCAGCTGTGTCCCATGATTAAAGCATCTCAGTTATCATTTTACTAGATGTGATAAATATATTTAAAGCTACAAATTGTACCGGAACTATTAACAACACAGTTTTGTCCGAGCTTTCGCGTGCACAAAACAATTCGAAATGAGTTGATCTATTGATTTCAGAAAGAAAAATAAGCTCCTTCAGATGAATGTTCTAACACTTGAAATTATACTTTTGAAAAAGTCACATCTATGTCAAAATTCAGAGTTCCAAACATTCAGATTTTGTATTATCGATTTCGTATAATAGCTCATAGCTGCATATACCATTCCTAGAAAGGGATTCTGTCCGTGACTCTTTGATTAAATGAAAAGTAAATCAATGTGGCCATTTTCGAAGGGCACAATGATCCTCAGTAACACCTAGGTGATCAAAAGAACTTTCCCAGATGACTTTGTAGCTGGAAAGGGGTCCCAATCCAGACCCCAAAAGAGGGTTCTCAGACCTTGTGCAGGAAAGAATAAGAGGGAAATCCATAGAGTAAAGTGAAAGCAGGATGGCTACTCCACAGGAGAGAAATGGTGTAGGCTGCTCGGCTGAGTAACCTAGAGTTACTTCTTGATTATGTGCTAAGCAAGGGTTACATTATTTCTGAGTTTCCTGGGAAAGGGATGAGCCATTCCCAGAACTTGCAGTTCCTCCCTATTTTAGACCATAAATGGTAACTTCCTGATACTGCCATGGCATTTGCAAACTGTCCTGGTACTGGTAGGAGTGTCTTGTAATATGCTTTTGCATTATAATTAGCATATAATGAGCAGTGAGAACAAACAGGGGTCACTTTCATCGCCATCTTGGTTCTGGCAGGTTTTTGTCAGCTTCTTGACTGCCCACGGGGTCTTTGTGCCCTGTATATTGTGCCAACCTCCTACCTCATCCTGTGACTAAGAATGCCAAACCTGCTCGGAATCCAGCCAAGCAGATCTCAGCCTCATTTTACCCAGCCCCCATTCAAGATGGAGTCACTCTGGTTCAAATGCCTTTGACAACTTGACAAGTCATTTCTCTGCCTTGTTAGATTTTTGCACAATTCCTACTACCCCCTTCCTTTCACCTGCCTCTGGAAGTACAAGAAACATGATAAAGTGAACAATACATGGCAAAGTGTATTTGTTGCAGGTTTCATACTGCATGCAGGTACTAAAGATTTTTAAAGTCTTCATTGATTCTAAGTAAGGTGCTGGACTAAATAACTATGGTATAAGGTGAATTACCAAGTCACACAAATTCATGGAAACCCTCAGGAATGCCCGTAAGCTATTTGTAAATAGAGGTCTAGTAAAGTCGAGCTGGAAAACAAACCACAAATCAGCTGTCTCAGGCTCCTCAATGCACAGATGAGAAAATTCAGACTGGGGGAGGTAGGATTGAATTTCTCTTGGTCAGAACTAATAAGTAGAAAAGACAGTACAGAATCTGGGCCGCTCAACCCCCAGCCTGATGTTCTTTCCAGAACATTACACTAACTCCCAAAATTACTAGGAACAACTCAAAAAGAACAAAAATATTCCCACATTAAAAAATAGATTCATGACACAGTAAAAGAGCCACATAACAGAAGACGTTAGTAGTTAAGAGAAATAATGTAGCCCCGGTTCTAGTGTTGGGAAATTTGATTTAAACTTTTGAAATAATAATTAAAGTTCACAGTTAGCCAAGACTGTGTGAAAAGCATTGTTATACTTCATGTGTTCTCATTTTAGAAAAAGACCAAGATCTACATCTTAGCACACTATGGAACACATTTAAGAACATAGTCAATTTACATTTGTTTCTATCACTAAAACGAGCAGCTTGCTAGGTTGATGAAGAAATTATGAATATCACCAGAGCAGGCAGAGAAGGTGGAATAATTAGACAGAAATGATGAAGCTGTCATCTTGGGGCTTTTCACGTAAAGTGGTGGCCTTCCGAGTCCCACCTCCAGTGCTGAAATAGCTAGTGTTTTGCTGTTTTATTAAAACCTAAGATTCTGGCTGCTCGTTAAGGTGCTGCCTCATGCACAAAACTTTTGATTTACGTTGGTGATGACCACAGGCCTTTTTACCCGGATTCACACTGTGACTCGTATCTTTCACTGAAGCCTTTTTACGTCATTTTGTTTATTATTAATATTTCTTCCAGTCAGTCTAAAAAAGGAAGTTTATCTTGGGTAACTGTGATCTTGGTTTAAATGGGCATTAAAAGATCAAAAACGTGAATAGAACCTGTTAAAATAACACAAAAGGATGCATCTTAAAATGTTTACTCTATGACTAAGCAAATAAAATCAGCCTTTTAAATAAATGTATAGAATGATTAATGAACCATTTCAAACTCAGTTAAAAATCTGGACACACAGATCCAAAAGTGAAACAAGTGCATGGTCACAAATAACATAGAACAAGCAGATGGCCACTTCAGGGCAAGCTCATTGGCAACAAGAAATCATTAGCATACTGTGGGGTACAAGGTAGGTGGGGTGGTAAAGGTCACCAGAGTTCCCTTAAACGTGGATTGACGCAGATGGACAGACACAAGCACAGGAAGGAAGAACACGGAAAAAGCTGAGAAACAAAGGCTAGCACAGTGTGGAATGCAGGTGATCGCTACAGTGTGAAGTGATCGGGCATTACGTTTCTGAAAAGCAGGCACTGACGACAAAATGACGTAAGCAAAACAGAACCCAAATGCGATTTCTTTGAAGGCATTTTCAATCTCAACATATTAAAAGTTTAAAAATAATGTCTTGTTGCTTTAAAAGTAATTTCCCCCAGGAGTTACCAAAGACCTTAAGAAAATATTTCATTTCTGCACCTTCTTATTAGAGCAAGGAAAGTATTTTTGGGATATGAGCAGTTCTAGGGACAAACACAGTTTTTTCTGAGACACGTAAATAGGAACAAGAAAGTATTTATCGATTGCTTCTTAAGGAGTTGATGCTAAGGGGTTCAATCTAGAAAACATTCTCTGAATGCAGGAAGCCTTATGCTTTGCAGTGGCCAAGACCAGTCTTGGGGCTGACGGGGCTCACTGTTCTGAAGCCCTCCCAACTCAAGAACTGCGCTAGATTCGCCACTTCCATCTTTCTCTATTCTGTGTTTCACGAGGTTCAGTGTTTTGGTAGATAACATCCTATGCAACTCTTAATACAACTTTTTTACTCAATCAAAATATTCATGACCTTGGGAAGCCCTTAATGCAGATCATGTAAATTACTGTACTCTTGTCAAGCATGAAAAACTATTTTAGAAAGAACAGGACTTTTGGTATGACTCCAGTAGCAGTTATAGTCCTCTGTTTACTAAACTCTAACCCTGCAGGAGGGTGGTATACAAGCACACATGCACACACACACGTGCACACACATGCATGCATGCACACACATACACACATGTGCTCACACACATGCATGCACACGCACATACATGTGCTCGCACACATGCATGCGTGCACACATGCATACATGCATGCATGCACACACACATACACACATGTGCTCACACACATGCACGCACACATGCACACACATGCCCGTGCACACACACATGCATGCACACACATGTGCTCTCACACATGCATGCACACACACATATGCACATGCATGCATGCACATACACATACACACATGTGCTCACACACGCATGCACACACACATATGAACACACACATACACACACACACATGCACGCACACATGCACACACACACGCCCCCCACACCGGAAAGGAAGGGGCTGCCCCAGTCTGAGTACTAAAATACAAAGAATAATGTGTCTTCTTTACAACACGATTGCATGCCCATGCATATAAATTAATTTCTGGATTCGGAATGGTTTTATTACTGCCGTTGTTACACAGCCCGGCCTTGTAGGAGCCTTCAGCATGTCCTCAAGCTCTGCTGAGCAGACAGTTTGGTAAGTGGCTATGAACACAGGGCACAGCCTATTCACTTTCATACCCGTACTGTCTTTCCTCTATCTGTAAAATATTCTGAAGCACAAATATCTTTTGACAGTTTCCTTCCAGATTAATGACTTCATCTCTTTTGTTGCCAATGGTTGATTCTGACCTTTGGCTAAAGATTGAAATAGGAAAGAAGAAAAACAACTTTTAACTCGAAACAGATTAGCTTTGAAAATCTTATTGTGTCAAAAACTAATTGGCAAAAAAAAAAATCTCAACTGAGGTACATGACATTATTTCAGCTGAAGAATAATTTTCCGAGTGTGACAGGAGGACATTTCACGCATGACCTTCTGCTCCCATACCTTGTACCATTATGTTGGCTGCAGCTTGAGCAGACCCGTGGCTGTTGCTGGCGTGGCAGGTAAATCGACCATGATCCTGTAGTGTGACGTTCTGTAAGTGAAGTCCACTGGCCGTTGCCACGTGCCTGGATCCATCCAGCTCCAATCCGTTGTCCCTGGTCCAAGTGATATGGGGCTGTGGGTGGCCTGTGGCCATACATTCCAAAGTTGAGCTGGTGCCAATTAGAACCTCTGTGTCCTGGGGCTGGATGACAAAGGTTGGTTTGGCTGCTGGTAGGCGGGGAACAAAACAAAATCCAGCCAATGGCAGTTAGGAAGATTTATGTGTTCTGCATTGTGGTTTTAAGACTATTGTCATTTTCAAATTGTCTTATACTAAAATATTACATATATACATTTAATTCCCAGAGAATTAAATCTAAAATAACTAAATGTGGATTTGCTGTAATTACATACTTTTTTAAAAGGGTCACTTGCTTTAATATCATAATGTATTATAGACACTGCAAAGCACCTACCAAATACATATTCCTTATTTTAGGGGCTACATGTTTGACTGTTCCCTCTGAAGAATACTCACCTTTTTTTAGCATAGTTTGGTCAGTGTGCCTGTGTAGGCACATGTCCTTAGGAATAAATAAAAGCCCTAAGTCTGACTAGTCCTCTCTTCCTTCTGTTTGCTCCCCAGAATTCGGGCAGGCATGCGTTTGGGTTACAGGAGCCACTTTGTGATTAAGAGGTGAAAATTATAAGAAATAAAGAAACCTATGTGCAAAGCAGATAAAAAAGCAGAAAGAAGAATATTATTTTCCCATTGGAGTAGTGTGGCAGCTCTGTGGCAGATTACCCCAGTCTTACTTGAGGCATGCAATTAAAATCAACATGCACACACACAAACACACACATAATGCTATGCACTTAAGCCACATCTAGTCAAGTTTTCAGTTACTTTCAGCTGAACATATTATAAGTTGATTCATCAAGTATCCTTGTAAATAGAAAATTTAGACTTTTATATAAGGTGTTCCACTCTTATTCATAAGAGCTTCTCTTTTCTGGGAATCTCAAGCAAAAATTAAATACTTGCTAAGGTGCTAAAAATGCGTAATGATTGAGTCTGTTTGGCAGGGGGCCACTCTCTCATTCCTGAGATGAACATACTCTGGAGAGCAGAAATAAATGAATTCAATCCAGTTCAACAATAAATGTTTAATTTAATTCCTATGTTGAATGTCTTAAGTATATTAGCAACATGCCGAATGTTGGAAAGATACAGAGATGAACAAAAGACACTTCTTGCATGCTCGTACTCTAGTTGCCTGAACAGAGGACAGAATGCATCATCTGTAAAACTACAACGTGCCTGGGAAAGAATTGTCTCAGAATTAGGTGTAAATGTGGTAGGAGAACATTCTGACAGGAAGTAAGGGAGAGTATAAGGAAAGCTATTACAATAATTGAAATAAATGTTCTGAATTAAGTCAATGGCAGTAGAACTGGAAAGGGAAATAACCTGATGCATCTTGGAACTAAATTTTTAGAGAATTGTCAAAGGAATAGCACTAGAAGTGAATCGGAGGTTACTGCAGGATAGTAATGATATCCATAGAGATAGCAAACACAGGATGTGTGGGCTTGTGTGGGCAAATGTGCTTGAGAGATGTAAAATTCACCTATGAAGATAAGAAGGTCCTGGCGGCATTCACTGAAGTCTCAGGAAGGACCTCAGCAGTAAAGACTATGCATTTTACATGAAGTATGAAAGCTGAAGATTTGGGAAGAGATCAGATGGAAGAGTAATAACTGCGATTAGGGTGCAGGAGATTAGAGAAGGAAAGAGGAAGGACAGCGCGGTAAGGAGCACCACATTTTCCACAGGCAGGAGATTTTAAAGGAGGATTGAGGGCATTAGGAAAGGATCAAGAGGAAGTCATGTTCTCAAAGTAAAAATGCTCCTGCTCCTGGAAGTACGGGGTCAGACTTGACCTAGCGGCAGAAGGGAAGGAGGCTTTCAAGGAACTAAGGCAGGGAATTAAAATAAACTTCAAGAGAAAATATTCAAGTTTCTTTAAAACAGAATTAGAAAAATTACGGCCAATGGGAATAGTTTCACTTCAAAGCATTACCTACTCTAAAGAAGCAGTATTCGGTAATTTTCTAGTGAAAATAACTGCTAGAACTGGAAAATAACAGTTTTACCAGGAAGACTGGAGTATCTGAGCATGGCACTCTGTGCCTTGGCTTCCCCAGCAGAATTTCTGGCCATGCACTGATAGACACCTTGGTCTGACTCTCTGGTGTTTCGGATCATGAGTGTGCCATCATCAAACATATTAAGTCGAGTATCATCTTCCAAGTCCAATGAATGGCTGGAAACATATTATACATGTGTATTATTTAATCAAATTGATATTTAAAACTCTTAACAAGACTGAGAATATAGTACTATATAACTATGCTTCATGTCTACCCAGTATGTTCAATTTATTTTATTTGAATGATTTTAATTATTTTACTTTAAATTCTAGTTCTCTTATTCCTATTTCAAGACTATATTCTGAACAAACACTATGAGTCAACATCTGATAGAGGGAAATGGGGTTGAAATGTCCCGCCTTCCCGAGTGGCATGATTTAGACATTGAAGCAAGCACTCCCATATGACAGACACTTCAGCACATTTTTATACATCTGAATGCCCATTTTTTTAAAAAAAGAATCAACAGATAGCAATATGTCATCCTTTTACCTCCTTCCGTGAGTCATTCAGTATTTTTTCCTTTTTTTCTTAAAGCGTAAAAGAAATATTCCTATTCGAACCAGTATGGCTCAAAGTCAAGTATAATCATATGACTGAGCAATAAATAACACACCCACCCACCCAGTCGTTGAAAGTAGGCCCTCTCTCAGACTCGCACCATTTGCATATACTTGAAAAGTGCCATTTATCAACTAAATGAATAATCCATTGAGAGCAAGGTTCAGATGTGCAACATCATATTACACCAATAATCACAATAAAGGGAGTGCCTGCATATTTTTAGCAATAACTGCAAAGCTGCTGACGCAGAAACATATGTTAGAAATTTTTACAGTCTTATTTCTGGCCAAGCTTTTAATGATTATGAATGAGAAGGTATATCGATTTTGACATGTGTATGCTTAGAACTAACCAACATGTTAAGCACAGATAAAGGAAATCTCTCTTCCATCATCCCTCACTCAGTACATATTTATTAAACACCGACTAGGTGTCACTCACAAAACATCATTCACAGAGAAAAAAAAGTCCTTTAGGAGAATCCCAGAGTTCTCCCTTTAATTCATGTATTTGTTTTATAAAGCCAGGTAAACATTTTCCCGCTAATTTCAATACATACCCACACTAAAGAATAACAGTCTATTCACATATAGGTAAAAACAGTAAAGCTTGTTAAAGAGATGAAGAAATCATCATTCTTATTTAACTATTTTTGTCATGAAAAATAAGAAAGAAACAGACAATGGCCATATTTTACTTTTATGTTTTAGAGTGGAATCACAGAGTGAAGACAGGACAGCTGGAGGCGATCTGTTCTTCTTCAGCCATTGGGTGAGAAAAGCTCAATGTGAAGAAAAAATACCATTCAGCCAAAAAGGAAATTCAAGTTGTCATTTTTGAAGAGATTAGTTTCAAGAAAAAGTAGCCAGCAATGCAAGACACAGGCAAGAAAAGGAGAAACTGGCTACTCCTATCCATATAACCTATGAAACTTCTCAGGGTAGGTAGCATGGAATGAACATCAGAAAGAATGTTTTTGCCAGACTGGGGGCAGTGGCTCATGCCTTTAATCCCAGCATTTTGGGAGGCCGAGATGGGCAGATCACCTGAGGTCAGCAGTTGGAGAAATAATACTTTTCTTAATGTATCCAATTCAAGAGGCTCATTTAGTATTAAGCAATTTAATTGTTTTAAGTGTAATTCTAAACTTATCTAACATTGAACCCAAGGAAAACTATTTGCAAAGGAATATGCCAAATAATAAAATCATATTTTTCAGAAGATGATTTAAGTTCCCGAAATCTTGTTCCAAAACTTTGCAGCCCAAAATTTCAAAGGCTACCAGATGTGTATGTGCTATCTATCATCTGGCTACACAATGCAATCGAATTCACCAAGATCCATTATGCTACAAGTGATGTAAAACAGGAAGCAGCACATCACACCCATAAATTCAAAATGCGCCATCCTTGTCCTGGTGATTTCCCTCTTTGTTCATAACCTCTTCTTATGTTCATAAAACTTATCTGCTCGGCCAGGCGCAGGGGCTCACGCCTGTAATCCCAGCACTTTGGGAGGCCGAGGCAGGTGGATCACGAGGTCAAGAGATCGAGACCATCCTGGTCAACATGATGGTGAAACCCCGTCTCTACTAAAAATACAAAAAATTAGCTGGGCATGGTGGCACGTGCCTGTAGTCCCAGCTGCTCGGGAGGCTGAGGCAGGAGAATTGCCTGAACCCAGGAGGCGGAGGTTGCGGTGAGCCGAGATCGCGCCATTGCACTCCAGCCTGGGTAACAAGAGTGAAACTCCGTCTCAAAAAAAAAAAAAACTTATTTGCTCATGAATCATGATGCTCCTTCCCCAAAAGTCAAAGTCTTCATGTTTCAATACATCCCATTCAATTGTCAGTTTGATGCAAAGCAAATAGCAATAATACATAAAACACAAAGGTCTGCAGAGGAAGAATATATGTGAATAGATTCTATTGTTCCTTGAAAATATGCAAAAAAACATTTGATTTAATGAAGATATACGAATAACTTCTATTAAGGTGATTCATTGCAGCATTCATTTGTGAAGTGCTTTCTAAAAACTAGGTACTGTAGCTAGATACCAGAAATATACACAAATAAATTAAAACCATCTTCCATGGTCACACACAGTGGCTCATGCCTGTGATGCCAGCATTATGGGAGGCTGAGGTGGGAGGATTGCTTGAGGCCAGAAGCTTGAGACCAGCCTAGGCAACGTAGGAAGACCCTGTCTCTACAAAAAAAAATCTAAAAATTAGCCAGATGTGGTGGCATAGGCCTGTAGTAACAGCTACTGAGAGGCTGAGGCAGGAGGATTGCTTGAGCTCAGAAGTTCAAGTCTGCAGTAAACAATGATTGTGCCACTGAACTCCAGCCTGGGCAACAGAGTGAGATTCTGTCTCAAAAACAAAACAAAAACAATTCCTCCACATACAAAACCACCATCAACCATATATTATAGTGTAGTTGTAAAGTTTGCTTATAATCCACTGGAACTATCAATCATACTTACCATGTTTACTAGAATTTGAATTTATTTAGAATGGCCTAAATTTCCATAGCTAAACCTCAACATTAAGAAAAGTATGGAAGACAGCCAACTAGATGAAGCCAGGAAGCCCTTCTCCCACCAAGAGAAGCCAAAATATTGAAAAATCCATCACATTTTAAACAGATCTTTTGGGGGAAATACTGAGAGTTGATAGAGGGAAACACAGCCACTGAGGCTGAATAGGGTGGAAGCTGGGACGCCTGCACAGAGTCGCCAAGTGCCAAGACCAGTCCCTAGTCCTGATGAGGTCCTAACGAAGAGGTGAGTGAAGGGACTGCAGGACACCACACCCCCGTCATGGACCTCTGGGATCCTAGCTGCAAGAGCCATGACCCCCATAGATTTTTTTTTTTTTTGAGACAGAATCTTGCTCTGTCACCAGGCTAGAGCGGAATGGCACAATCTTGGCTCACTGCAATCTCCGCCTCCTGGGTTCAAGCAATTCTCCTGCCTCAACCTCCCGAGTAGCTGGGACTACAGGCGCACACCACCGCGCCTGGCTAATTTTTGTATTTTTTAGTAGGGACGGGGTTTCGCCATGTTGGCCAGGATGGTCTCGATCTTTTGACCTTGTGATCCACCCGACTTGGCCTCCCAAAGTGATGGGATTACAGGCGTGAGCCACCGCACCTGTCCAGATTTTTTTTTTTTTTTTTGAGACAGAGTCCTCTGTCACCAAGCTGGAGTGCAGTGGCATGATCTCGGCTCACTGCAACCTTTGCTGCCCAGTTTCAAGCCATTCCCATGCCTCAGCCTCCTGAGTAGTTGTGAGTAGCTGGGACTACAGGCGTGCACCGCCACATCTGGCTAATTTTTTGTATATTAGTAGAGACGGGATTTCGTCATGTTGGCCAAGATGGTCTCAATCTCTTGACCTCATGATCCACCTACCTTAGCCTCCCAAAGTGCTTGGACTGCACCCAGTCCCCGATAGACATTTTAATTAGAAGGCAGAGGCAGAGCTTGAGCCTGCATTGAGCCCAGGTTTTACATGTACATGTGGCAACTCCAGCAAAATGTGACCCTAGAGCCCATGCCCCCAGCCTCTCCGCCTTGTTCTGCTGGGCTGGGATGCAGCAGGGATGTCTGCATGCTCCTTTGTCTCTGGACCCTCTCAAGGCCCCCACCTGGCTGCTTCCATAAGAGCATGCACACAACACAGCTTCCACTGCCCACCCTGAGTGCTTTGCCAGCACCCTGAAAGCACTACAGCTGTCCCAGTACCACCAGTGCTTGACCCCAAGGGGCTAAAGGACAAAACCATGGGGCCAATCCCAGCCCCCCAGGGTGCAGGCACACAGCTGAAGAATATCAAGCTGAGATCTGTGACCAGGGCTTGAAGAGGGGAGGAACCACCAATCTCAGAACACTGAGAAGAATGAGATGCAGATTTCCATTCTGGCAAAGGAGTTGGGTGTGCCTCCCTGCACAGGGCTGGTCTGCCAAGGGTGTGGCCTTTCTGTTAGCCACAGCTTCTGCCTTAAAGAGCTCCATGTCCTGAAACACCTGACAGCCCAGCAATCTGGGTGCAGAAGGCTTGAGACTAAGTGAGCTGATCAGGTCAGCTACAGGGCAGCCACCAGAAGGAGACCTAGTCAAGGGAGCACGAGCTGGGCAGTCCTCATAGCGATCTGCTGGGCAAAAATACTCAAGCTGTGGGCACTACACCAGCTGCATACCCAAAACAACTCTACCATGCCCAGGGGTCCTCTGCCCTTGACCTTCTTTGTGATATGTCTATGGGTGGCAACATACCACCCACCGTATATTGTCACCCATAGATATATCACAAAGCACGAAGGACCAGTGTGCCCCTAGGGAGCTGCGAGTCTCCCAATAACCTAACCTTTGGCTTGGGCTCCCCTTAATAGTAGGGGTAGCACAGCCTGTCAGGGCCTCCTTAGGCCTAAGAAAATGTAGGTGTGTCAACAGTGACTAGAGGGGGAGGTCCCCCAAGGTGCAAAAATAGACTTGGCAAGGAGGTATATCTCTCACTCCCTGTGTCCCCCACCCCAGTGCAGTG